GCTATTTAAGATGTCTAAAGCAACTCTTCCCTTTCTGTTGACTTGTTTTTCTTCTGGGTTCTTAGGTTCTTGTCTCTCCATCATGATCTGAATGCTACAGTGCTGTACCTTGTTTTGGGTCTTTTGGAACGTACCATGTATACTCGTGTATAAGCCGAGTTTCTCAGCACATTTTAGTGCAGTTTTTGTGGTAACATTAGGTACCTCGGCTGATAATTCGGATCGGCTTATACTGGAGTATATACGCTAGATGCTTCTGTATTGAGATTCAGATCTTAAGAGTTCTGAGGAATTTTTACTCTTACCCATCTCTGTGAGAATTTTTGAGGTGATTTCACTAAAGTTGATATGGAGTGTTCTAATTTATTTTTGAAATTAGATATTATTTTAAAACTTTGGATATAATAGTTTAATTCTTAGCATTTACTATTTTTTATTGTTCATTTGTTATAGTATCCTATTCTTGTTTTATGGATGTAATATCTCCTCTTTGAGCATATTACAGTTGACTTTTGTCCTGTTATCTTCATGTCTAAAGTTCCTTGGCCAACCATTCATACATATAGTTAAGTACTATGGGAATGTTTTTGTCCAGGGGCAAAGTCTGTTGACTGGGAGGATTTTCTGTATGGTATTATGGTGATTGGCTGATTTTTCTTTTTTCCCCCCTACATTGAGCTGTCTCCAAATGTTAGTAGGTCTTTGGTTAATCAGCATCCTGCAAAAGAATCCTCTAATCTCCTCCATCTCGTATTCTAGGAACCAGGCTGGGAATCTTAGGGTGCATATACGTATATACTTGTTAATCCCCCTCTTTTCACTAAGGTGCAAAACACTTTAGACAGTAACCTTTTCATTTAGTCAAGAAAGGGGAAATCACCTGGCTATGCTCTGTAAGTCTAGGGATTTTGGAATTTAACCACTTCATTCAAACTTTTATTGCAGCCCTTCAGAAATACTGCCACACAAAGAGCCTTTCCAGGTTCTGCAGCCCATCAGGACTTGATGCAGGTTTTTGTTGTTGTTGTTGCTGCAGTTTGGTTTTAACTTTTGCTGTTGTAGCATCAGTTATTCTTGTTGGTGTCTATTGCCTCCTCCATTATTTTTGTCTTTATGGGTTTGTCCCCTCCTACTTTTTAATTCCTTAGTTACTTTACTGACATCTGGGGAGACTGTTAATATGATGTTCAATCTGCCATGTTAAAGTAGAGGTTTCCTGCTTTTTCCTTCTTTTTTCCCCTTTCCTTAGTGGCATTGAAAATTAACCCTTGGTACTGGTTTAAGAAGTAGCTATTGTA